TTCTTTGTGACTACCTTTGCAACGGAAACATGACATTGAAATGAGAAACCAATTGATAAAATTTAGTTTTGATAAAGTTTCTTTCAAGATTCTCGCGTGAAATATGTTATCTCTGCGTCTGATAGGTTTGTCAGGCAAGAATTTATTAGTTCAGGAGTACCTCCGGTTCGCGTCCTTATGACGCGACTATTGACGACCTGAATCATCAATTTTCCCAGCGCGGAAGAAGACGTAACTTTACGGGCGTTTGCCTTTATTTACGAAGGGGTTAGGCGTGAGCTGGCTCATGTTCTAACGAGAAGGTATCGCCCGTAAAGTCACGTCGCGGACATGAAGAAGTGGCAGAGCCGTTTAGCAATTGTTCGAAGTTCACGGCTCCGTAGCAATCGATACTACGACGGCGTTGCTAAAACAACAACTGCGGCGCACACGGCCGGGTCGTCGCACCTTCCGGTCTTAAGCTCTTTTCCTACTCTCCCCTCTCTTTCTCTTTTCTTTTCTTTTTCCTTCTCTCTCTCTCTCTCTCTCTTTCTTTTTCATCGTTCTCCCTTTGTGTTGGATAATGGATGAGAGACGATATTTACATATTTTTCCATGTTCGTGCCGCGGAGACGGGTAGGTCAGGCCAGGCACTGCCTAGTACAAAGTTGCACCGAGCTTTACTTTCGTCTATTCACCTATTTGGGCTTACTCCGCATTGTTTGGCGCATCATAAAAAGGCCGTCAACGTGTCGCCGTTAGAGATATAAAATTAGGACAGCGTGTTTACAATGGGAATTTAACACGACAATAAAATTTTATATTTTGCCTTTTGTTTTCAGTTTATAACAAATTAGTCAATTTTTCAGCAGAGTGTCCCTCACCCATGTGAATCCGGCACCCGATCCTTTATTAGAGTCTATTCAACTGTTTATGGATTTATTTATTTTTTGAGTTTTTACATCTAAATTATTTTACTTCGTTATGTGATAACTGACTTCCGGAGAAGGTTTATCTTATTTTAAAAAACTGATATGTGCACCTGTTGTTTTCCAATATACACGCGACTCACAGCATGCTGTTGACGTTTTATTTCGTTATAGATTTTTTTTTGTAACTATTTATTCTCCGCTTTTATTTTGCAAGTATCGGGTTACGTATATTTTATTTACCAATAGTTCTCGATCAATATTTCGAGGTTTTTTGTATTGCGCCAAGTGCTTACACCTACGTAATGTTTGCGCGCGATATATATCGGAATACTGGGCTTCATTGTTTCTCTCTCATCTTTACCACGCACGGGAGCTGGGGTAATCTACCTCAGACCGGAATAATGGAAAATTGTTCCGGCCTGCCCGAGCTCCAGCGCAGCCTCGGGCTTCTCAAAGCCTCCGGCATCCGTTATGTAGCGGAAGAACGAGGTTAGGCTGGGCGACCGTCTGCCGTCCCAGCGACGGGGTGAACAGAGGTTACTTACCCTTCTAGACGCGGCCGAGGCCATTTTTCACGGTCGTCTCCGTCGCTCTCCATTATCGATAATGCGCGAACATCAACCGTCTTTTCTGATGCTCGCTGTCGCATTTCCGGTTTCTATAAATGGAGGGTGATAGACTCCCTTGCTATTCAGGAACCGTTTTATCTCAATGTCCCGCGCAGTGAATCTTGAAAAGAGAGTTTCTTATCGTACGTGTATGAACTGATAAATTATGTCGCCGAAAAATAAACTGGTAATCCACACAAAGCGCGTTGAAAAATTCCCCCAAATTTATTACATGGTTGGATTAATGCTGATTGCTACTCGATGATTAATCCTCGGCGCATAAATATGGTATATCTCCATTCAAGTGGAAAGTTTCAAGTTTCGTCGCGGACATTGCGTTGGCCAATACGGAAGAGGGTATCGGCAAACACGGAGGAGAAATACAGTATACTGTCGTTCGATAATTATTCCAGTGTCAGATGTCGCGCTTTTATCTACTTCCCTCGTCGTCGCCGATGTTCCCACGGAAATCGACGGACTCTCTGCTCGTCAAACAATATTCAAAATACATTTTTTTACGTTCTATCAACTGCGAAGTACACTTCCACTCGTATAAGATGAGAAAGAAAAATCTTCCTATTTGTTTGAAAAAAGAGTTCGAGCGATTTAACTTAAAATTGAGTGGTCAAATGTGTTTTTAGAACAATTCTCACGATTTTACAAGTCTAATAATGCCGATAACTTTTTTTTATTTCGGGTCGACTATTTGCCGTAATATTTTTCCATAGAAGAACTCTTGGGGTGTTATGGAGAAATTCTAAAGAAACCATCACTGCTCGACTAGGTGCACGTCGACGCCAAGGAAACCGGTGTTGGTATGTCACCGAAAGAGACGGCGGTGGGGGCCGAGCAGCCGGTGGTTCCCCGTGGTGGGGCGCCACAGCCGGGGTTTCCGACCGCGTCGGCGGCGCTTAAGCCTCCGATGCGGGGGCATTGCCGTCGTGGCCGCGGTACGCTTCGATTCTGCTCTTGCACAGTGCGTGTCGTTTCTCCATCAAGCCGCACGTGGCTTTTTATCAGACGGATTTTCAATTTTTTGTTTAACCATCGCTCTTTTCCTGAGTTGCAGAGAGAGAGAGAGAGAGACACTTGTACGATCGCGATTTTCGTGAAATCGTAGGTTCTCCTTCAGTGCTACAAGTGCGACGATGAACTCCTCGTGAGAGACGATGGTGCACATATGACGGACTCGGGGATGCGTCTCCTGCTCGTGCGATAGTCGCAGGCATGCGCCGCTGATGCGTCTAGGGGAAATCCTCAAGAGGGAAGCTCGAAAGGGGTGTGTCGCGATGTCACGCGATCGTGCGTGAGGTGTCAACGAATAGCGTGCGTTTCGTTTAACTAATCACGTATTCACATTTTGTATTCTGCGAAAATTTCTTTTTCCCGTTTTTATATGCGTGCGTCGACGAGACAGTGTCCAGTGCGAACCTTTCGTCACGCAAAAGCTTTTTTTTACGAGACGGTGAATGAAAGGGAATCAGCATCGCGAGAGACGAAACAATTTTTTTTATCATAGGTCAGAGTCTATTGCGATCACGTGCCTTCCCAAATTCTCGCTAGGTAGTGAACAATAGAGTCGAAACATTATCGCGTGCGCGAGATCGGGATCAGAGCTTCTTTTGCGTCTCTATTCCGAGTTTTCCCCGTCGTTGTTAAAAAAACGATTAAATAAGTCTTCCCGCGACCGAGTTAATCGGCGTCACCGCCGTTTTATCTCTGTGCTCGCTATAAATCAAACGGCGTGTGAACTCTCTGAAGTCGTTCACGTCGTCTCTTTGCGCTCATATATAGTAATATATACTGGTCTGTTGGACATCGTGGACAGTCGTGACAAGTGTCAATTGAATTTACGCGTGAATGGGACATCGCTCCGCGCGCGCTCGCGAGTTTATAATACATTGAAGTTTCCAAGTGTTTTATATACTGGCGTCACGAGAAGCTTACAAGTCCCTGTAGCTTGGAAGTGCCACGCGAAGCTATTACTGGATTATAAATATTTGCCCGTCGTAGGTAAGTTACGGAGTTAATGCAAATGACTAACGTATCGATTATGAATAAAATTAACATACATAATCTCTCGTGCATGCTGGCCGAACTAACAAAACTACTGTTCTTTCTAGAGCTGCCATTGGGTTTTATTTCGTTAACAAAAATAATGGATGTTGAAATGAAAAAACGAAATAAAAAAAGAAAAAAAAACAAACTTGGAAAAACCAACGTATGACTTTTCTGCTGTCCCTTTACCTATATTTTCACTTCGAAACGAATTGCCAAGAAAGTAACACAACTATATGCGAAATAATTAACATATATTAACACTTGAAAAAGATCAAGGTTTGTTTGGACTCAATTTCAATACTCAATCACAAATACACATAATTAGCGAATCCGTGTGAAGTGTATTTCGCGGCGATCTTTTCACACACGCGTTTCCTCACCCACGCGACACCGTTTCGTCAATTTTGACGAATGTGTATTTCATTCAGCGCGCACAAACGCGCGCATCCTTCGAAACCGCAGCAGTTCTCGTTGCTTCCATCCGCGATCGCTCGCACGAGAAAGTCGATCGTCGTTCTCGCCGTTCGAGTACACGCACGATTCGCAGGAGAGTATGTACCTCCCGCGGCATCTCGCTAACCTCTTTCAACACGGTTAAATATTAGCGGGAAACACCGGCGCGCTACTATAAATCCTAGCCACACGACACGCCAGCGCGCGCCGGCTCGTAAATCGGCCCCGCGACGCCACTATACTTCCAGGCGCCATTAATTAAAAGCCATGCCTCGTTGGTAGCTACCCCCTCTTGTCCTCTCCTCGCAAAAATCCGCAATCCCGTGGTATCTTGGTGAAACATTTAAACTCGGAAATCTCTCTCTTTTCTTCTTTATCTCGTCACCTCTCGTACACGCGCTTGTAACGCGCAAGACGCTTCTTCTCGAAGAGTCGATCTCGGATTTTTTTTGTCCCGAAGTAGAAAGCTGAACGAGGAACGTTTTTCAAGAGAGTTTTTAGGTCGTGATCATGTAATCCTTTTTGAAATTTTTTATTTTTTTTTATAAATGTCAATGTGCGCCCAGAGAAATTTGTGCGCCTGTTGCAATTTACTGTTCTGCGAAATAGACGGAATCTCTTTCTTTCTCTCTTTCTTTTTCTCTCCCGCGTGTCGATATTACGATAAGAGCGAAATAATTACGCAAGGAGAGGAGAGGACTCGTCCCAATCTCACTTCCATTCACGGCGTTAAGTTGCCGTCGCAAACGCGCGAAAACGAGTTTGGCAGGTCGGCCAGTCGACAACCGAGCCAGCATAATCTCGCTTATCTCGGCTCGGCCTGACCGGGTAGGGAACACAGTGGGCTCCAGCCACAGCAATGTGGAAAAAATGCGTCACACAGTATGAATGGTCAAGCTATTTGTGTGATAGTTGTTTCTTTCAAGAAGGAAAATTCAAGGAAAACTCCAATTACAACAAATCTGGATAAATTGCTGCAATTGTATATATTTTCTATTACTACAAAGACTTAAATTAAAAGAAATGTTTACTAACGTACGTATACTATAGTATTGACATTGACGCTGGTGTGTTTTAGAAATCTTTCTTTAGTATTAAAAGAATTTTCTCAACATCCACAGATGTGAATCAAATGTTCGTAAGTATCCGCGCGTCATATCAGTTGTGTGAAATCGAATCAATTAATATTTAAAACGAGATTTTTCAAAATTGTTTGTAAGATCAGAAATTCCAGTAGTAAGTTAAAGAATATGAGCACAAGTTGAAGCAGAAACTTTTACTATTTTGCACAAGTGAAGTACATAACTGAATAATCGGTAGTGTTTACAAGAGAATGTGTCTTGTTGAAGTTCGTAATATCGACGAATTTAACAATGGATAAAAATTTCGATCTCTAATCTTTACACGGTGATGAAGAAGCGGGGGTTGGGGCGGTGATGAAGGCGGGAAGGAACATGGATACCCCAGAGTTCCTTGAGTAAGTCCTTGATGAGTTCAAGGTCGATGCCGGCGTTGTCAGCATGATCCAAAAGGTCCTGGAATTTCGGGTGGTCGTAGACTTCGTTGACAATATTTTGGAAGTTTTCGGACTCCAGTTGTTTGATGAATTTTTTGAATTCTTTACTTGTCTCCAGCTTATGCTCGTAGAGTTCATCGAGTTCATCCATTGGGAGAATATCCATGATGTCGTCGACATATCCGCGGATTCCACCGGTAATGTGTGTTTTGACGAAGTCCTTAGGCGGAGTGAGACGTGGCAGACCGAGCCAATCGTTCATAGAGTTCACTATCGCGTAAATATCGATGCCGGCATCGTGAATATAGTCCATCAGTTCCTCGATCTCAGGCAAAGCCTCGACGTCTTTCACCAGCTTTTTGAAGTCTTTGGATTTGAGATATTTGACCATGGCTTTGAATTCTTTGTCGCTGCTATAGTATTCGAGGGTGATCGCGAATATCTCGTCCTGCGGCAAAAGATCCAAGAATTCCTGGATGTCTTTGTAGAGCTTACCCCTGCCGAAATTGGGGATTTCGATCTTGGCAGAAGCCACAGCTACGAAAGCCAACACTGCTACTAGTGCAAGTTTCATCTGCGAAAGTTCAATTTTGCCGGATTATAAAAACATCACTTTCCATTTTAATTATATCTTGCAGTCATTATTTTGCAATATAACATATAAAATAGCAAGCAGTAAGTAAACCTTGATCAAAATTATAAAAATTCTATTTGTTAAACATTGGTTAAACATTAACTAATTTGATTTCACGCAACTCATTAATTGTTAACATTACGCAAATATTTCTCGTAATCAAATTATTTTGCGGTATTTTTATATATTTGAAATATAATTTTATATGTTAATTATTCGAGGGGAGAGAAAACGTGTTCAGATTATTCAAAATGAATATTTTTTTGATACCATATGTATTTATATATAAATTATAACAATTTGCTTAACAAACAGTGAGAATGCCAAAAAAAGTTTTTTTGTCAAATTTTTATGTTTATATAGAGAATTAATGTTTGAATTATTTAATTAAATTACAAGATCTGTTACGTACCTTCGGAGAATTGTTGTTACTTCAACTTGTGATTCCGAAAAAACTGATGCTTTGGAATCTCTGACTTGGGTTTATATACACGAAATGAGCACATATTTATTCGATCTATATGATGATAAGATTATGTATTATCTATGAGTGCCTGATTTGAAAGACAAAAACACTTTTAAAATCATGTAAAGATTATGCAATAAATGTCATCGTGTTTTTGTTACTCTGAGATATCTCAGATATCTAATGAGCGTTGATATAATTGCATATATAAAATACTTATTGCACAAATAATAACGTTTGATGAATCATGATATTTCGATAACTAAATTTTAAATAAATAATTTTATATTAAAAACATTTTTTTATATTAAAAACATATTATATTAAAACTTAAATTTATATTTCAATGTTTGTACTTGTAAAATATGTAAACAAATCTTTTGAATATTTTACATTTATAAATATTTCTTTTATTTTTTATATTTTTAATATTTTTGTTTTTCTATTTTTATTCTACCGGCAGATCTGCAAATTTATATGCATATATAATGTTATTTTTTATCTTTTATTTTAATCAGGATCAAAAGAATTGATTTTTTATATCATCTGTCGAAGTCTATCGATAAGACACAGGTGTTTTATCAAATGCAATTACTTAGTACCTGTTAATCGCAAATAAGTGATAAAAATTTCCAGTGACTCATATTCTAGAAAAACACTTTCCTATTAGTATTGCATAAAAACTACATATAAACACTGCAAAAGTAGAAGTGCTTAGAAAATAGACGAAGTCTACACAGAAAAAAAATGAAGTTGCTTCAATTAAAATTGACGTAAAAGATAAAGAAACTATTGTCTGTGAAAATGCGTAGATATTTCTAAACAAAAGTATATATAGATCTTTTATATTTCTTTAAATTGTAAAAAAAAAGTGAATGCAATTGTTTGTTTCGAATCAAATTATTTCGGCATTGAGAGAAAAAGACGATCGATCAATGCTCGATTTTGCTTCTAGAACGCGTGTACATCAAGCGATAATTTAATCGTGAGAAAACATCACGTTACGTCGCATGGGGATATAGTTTCGACTGATTCCTTAGTCGTGATCTTCGATCGAATGGACTCAATGTTCGATCTCACGCCTCGTCGATCTTAGCGTCGATTTTAGCCGCTTTTAGTTCCGCTTTCGTTATCGCTGCCGGGCGTAAACTTGCGAACATGTGTTTCGCCAAATGGAAATAACGTTGTTATAAAAGCAAGCGTCTTTTGCAGGTGTGTGAGTTAGAATTTTTTAATTGCGCGTTTTTTTGGCGAAACAAACGCGCATGTATATAATGGTTATAATAGTTTTTCCGTGTGAGAAACGCGCGATACATAAAATATTTTTCTCGTTAATGCATTTCTTTCTCGTATTTTGCGTCGAGAGTTATATCGCACGAGGAATATTAGCCGCTACACTCCGGTGAAGGTACTTATTGTGCGGTTTCAGTACACATTTGTTATGCTAATCCGAGGTACCGTGTTCTTCGCAGCAAGACGAGCATGCGTCAATGCTCCGAAAGAGGTGATGTAATGGCCCCAAAATCGTTTTTTTCCGCTTGCCAGCCTCTCCCCTTTCTCGCTCCGGATCGTTGCTTAAGATGCACGCGCGTCGATTCGGCGCATTCGAGGCGCGTCCACTAAAAATCGATCCCTGCTTCTCTCTCCTTTCGTCGTTGAGGGACTCGCGGAAACCGTTTCTCGGCCGCCGAGTTCGGGAGTCGTAAAATCGACCGCGCCGACGAAAAACCGAGCGTCGAAAACCATCGTCGGCGGAAGAAGCGATTCGTTCGCGCTCGAGAAGTTTAGCGAAACCACGTCGCTCTCGATGACTATAATTACTGACGAAGTTAAAGTCGTTTCGAGGGCATTCTGCAAGCGCACTCGTCTCGCAAAAAAAGTGATTTAACAGCTAAGACGCGAAAGTGCATTTGGCTCCTTTCACGACCGTGCAATAATAAGGACACATTTTTTTTATACGCTCGACGTTAAAAGCAAGGGTTTTTGCACACTTGATTGTCGCTTTTTATTTTTTCTCCTGGAAACGATTTTTGTGTATTAATAATAGAGCGTGCAATACATATACGATATCTGCTTCTCTCTGTGTGCGATTTATTTTTAAACGCGCTCAGTCTCGTTAACAATCAGTAAGAAATATTTCAGAATCAGCGCGCGACTGAAGCTTAATCAAGCGAAAGCTTTCTCGTTTGTCGCTGGGAGACAGGGAAGTGTTCTCTGGAGATCCATTTGGTATATTCCAGCAAGAAAATTGCCTCGGGAAAGTAAGTGTCCCTCAGCCGCGCCGATCGCGCATTAGAATTGCGGCTGAGATCGGAGATAATTGAGCAAAAGCTCTTGATTGACTTTACTCCCCTTAGAGAAATAAAACCGAATAGACGCGCAATAGATGTCTAGGAGGGGAAAAACATCAACTGCGCAATCTTGAGAGTTCGCATCTAGAAATTCGCTTAAATATACGCTTTCGAAATAATTTTTGGTAAGTGGTAGCGTGTGTGCACGCCGTGAAATGCCGTGCGCGCAGGCCATTATCTTTTTGTGCATAACTCGCGACGATTATCTGAGCCGCGTGACTGGTCGATCGCGCGCGATTGCGCCCGGCGCAACGCGGCGCACGTGGCGATAACGATGTGTCTGCGGGCGCGCTCGACGGCATTTTACGGCGCTCTTCGCGTCAAATACGGTAGGCGCTCGCTCTCGGCGCGCATATCTCGCTCCCAACAGCTTTCGATCGCGGGCCGATCGTTCCTACGAATTTTTGTCGACGAGTCACCGGATCGCGCGTAATGAACGGGAGCCGACCGTCGTTCGGGCGAAAATGCATACGTTACGGTATGTGGCATTAGGCGTGTGCTCGCGTGCGCGCGGAATGCGCAACACGCACGCAAGTGGCGTGACAGCGCGCAGCTGTCGAATCGCGAATCTTTCGCGCCGAACACGGTTGTTGTACCGTGTGTACGTACACGCATTCCGATCTGCCCACGGATATCTGACAAGTGGCGAGTTGCTACTGAAACGGTATTACTTTCGGCGAGCGAGGAACTCCGGAGGAGAATGAAGCGGAGTGGTATCCGGGAGGAGATCTCGAAGAGAGCGAGCGGGCGCATTAATGGCGCGTAATAATCGGTCGACGCGTGGGCGATGCACTGGCGAACCGCCGATTTCGAAAGACCGCCGCGCTGCGAAAGACCGCCCGCATTCCACGCACGGTGATATGCTTCAATTATTCATACTTGAAATCACGGGGTTTACGGTCGGTAGAACACTGATTAACGATGATACGGTAGAAGTCAGAATTTTTTTAAGACCTAAATTTCAAGATATACTCTAGGATAATATTTTCCACAAGACGCGCAGATCGCGCGAGTATACCTCGTTGCGCGTTATCTTAATATAGTAATTTTATACGATATATTTTTACTGACGATAACATATGCGATAACATATTGTGAAATCATATTTATCACATCATGAGATTATTTATTTAAATCGACATTTGAAATTGTAAGCAATAAGTGTTTTTTTTTTGACATTAATCTCTTGTGACAGAGAAAATAAGATAAGAGAAAGACAATGTGTTTGTTTGCTTGAAGAAGGACTTTTGCTCTTGTTAATCACTTGCTATCTTAATTTGCCATATGGTCTCTTGTAATCTGAAACACGATTTCAACGAGCTCTCCAAATCTGCCGAGCAAACAATTTCCTCAATATATATTTTATGTCATAGTGACAAGGAATATCATAGTACAAAGAAGAAATATCAATTTTTTGTTATGTAGGACTGCGAAGCAAGACATGCACGAGTTGCGAATGCATCTTGAATTGTGGCTGAATGTATTCGTGTCGACAGCTCCGAAAGATGCCGCAATGGACATTTATGCAACAACACTCTCGGATCGATGGCACTAATGCATGCGAGCAGCGATGATTCGCTCGCGAGTTATGCCACGTGACACGTACTGCAAAAGTGTACGACACGTCTCGTGTCAAACCAATCATACGCGGGCCATTCACTAGCGAATAGCTAGTGCTATAGCCGTTTGTTGTTGTAACATTTTGAGATGATCATTAATACTTATTTTCGGACGCTCACACGGTTATCTTCATGGATGAAATGAGAGAGAGAAGCTTCGCGTAGGTGAGAAGTAAGAAACGTCTCATTTGTTATTCTCGAAGATTATCATCTCTTTATCTGCAATAATAACAGTATAAAATTGATATGAGAGGGAAAGATTTTGCAATAGTCCGATTATTCTACTTGAAGGCTCGGTTGCAAATGAACTGTCAGAAGTTTCCTTTTGTATAATTTCGAGAAAATAGAAGTACAAAAAATAAGATTAAAATAATTCACATAAATAGAAAAAAATTATTTAAATCAAGTAAAAATCTACGCCACGCGATAACTTCTTTCAAACATCTCTCCGATGAATATAGTTACTCGGACAAACGCGAACTTTTGTCTCAAGTTTGAGAGTCGACGATTTCGAGCCGGGAGTGCGCGTTTTGAAAGCGAAAGTATTTCTCTGTTGCGAGGGGCATCCTGTTATACCGTATTTACGCCCACCGAGCTCTACGGCTCTCTGACATTTCGCGAAGTGTATCGGGTCGAGAAGACCGGCCTCGCGACGTTCCCCGCAGTACGTCGTCGCCGGCCGGCCACTGGGGCGAACTCGTAACGAGTTCGCAACGATCGTCTGGAACGATTGTTCCGTGATTTATAGCCACGTGTGGCTCGGCGCGCACCGAGTAGGTTATATCGCGCGTTTACACGTATATTCCGCGCGTGTCCTTCGCGCGCGAGCGTATAATCTTTTTGTATGAGCGACGAGCGAGGACGAGAGGCGAATACACGTAGGATGCGGGCCGTCCCGAAGAAAATCAATGCGCGCTCGCACCTGCTTTCTCTCGTTTCCGGTCTTCTCTTCCCTTTCTCTTCGCATGCCGATCGTTCGAAAGCTCGCCGCGTTTCTTCTCTATTATCCCGCGGAGACCGGGAGTTTCCTCGATTGCTGTAATCGAGAGCCGTTCGTTCGGAAGTAGCCGCGCGGCGAACCAGAC